AGGGCCTGATGAGATTGGCTGTCGGGGGTCTGAGAGAAAAGAATTGAAGATGACTCAAAGGAACTTACCTGGTGGCACAGTGGTTAAGAATCCAGCCACTAATGCAGGGGACACGGATTCGATCCCTGGTCCTGGAAGATCCCACATGACGCGGAGCAACTAATCCCGTGCACCACAACTACTGAGCCTGCGCTCTAGAGCCCGTGAGCCACAACTGCTGAGGCCACGTGCCACAACTACTGAGCCTGCGGGCCACAACTACTGAAGCCTGCGCACCTAGAGCCCGTGCTCCACAGCAGGAGAAGCCACCACAACGAGAAGCCCTTGCACCACAATGAAGAGTAGCCCCCGCTTGCCGCACCTAGAGAAAGCCCGTGAGCAGCAAAGAAGACCCAACACAGCCAAAAATAAATAAATAAGTAAATACAATTTTTTTAAAAAAACAGCGTGTGGAACTTGTTTAGGTTTTGATTTGAATAAACCAACTGAAGAAGAAAATCCTATAAAAGTTGAATATAGATAGCATATTAGCTGACGTTAAAGCATTATTGCTGATTTTGGTAGGTGTGAAATGGTATGATGGTTATGTTTTAGATAAAGTGATAAAGGCGCCTTATCTATTAGATAGATATAATGAGGTATTTATGGGTAAAATGGAACAATGTCTGGGATTTATTTTTAAATTCTCCAGAAAAAAAAAAAAAATAAGGGGAGGGCTTCCCTGGTGGCGCAGTGGTTGAGAGTCCGCCTGCCGATGCAGGGGACGCGGGTTCGTGCCCCGGTCCGGGAAGATCCCACATGGGCCTGTGAGCCATGGCCTCTGGGTCTGCATGTCCGGAGCCTGTGCTCCGCAACGGGAGGGGCCGCCGCAGTGAGAGGCCCGCGTACCACAAAAAGTAAAACAATTAAAAAATTTTAAAGTAATAGAAAGGAAATCTTAATAACTAAATACTGTAAAGAAAAATACAAATGTCAAGTACAACTTTCAGTTTTTCCGTAAACTGGACTGTTGTCCCAGAGACCACATGGGGCAAAAGCAGCAGGCTGGTATGTCATCAGCAGAATGGATCCTGTCTCCCTTGTTTCTCCAATGAGCTATATAGCCCTGGAAGCCTATACAACCTCTGCTTCCAAACCTGTAACATAGAAACATACCACCACCTTCCTATTCATCTCGTAGAACTGTGGTGAGAATCAAATGGATATGAAACCCAGACGTGAAATCCCCTCTGAAAAAGTAAAAACATTTACAAAAGCAAGGCATTTGTTTTTATTACCCAGCAGGGACAAACATTGGAGTTGTTTGGGAATTTTTAACATTGGGGTTGATGAAGAGTTAGAGACGTAGATTGTTATAAATTGACTGACTCAATTTTCAAAAGGTAAAAGTAACCTTTAATCACTGACAATTCATCACATCAAGGATTCCTCATATCCCAGGCTCATCACCCTGAATACCAGTTACTGTCCCTTCAGAGACAGTTGAGATAGAGAGAAGAAATTTAAGATTCAGAGAAGATGAAAGAAAGCTTTCAGAATGTAATATCTGCTGGGGATGATCGGGGTGGTATGAGGAAAGGATGACATGATCAAGTCTAAAAAGAATACTCCATAGTTTTAGTCCCTTATTCAGCTGGCCTTTCATTCATTCATTCAGCAAACGTTGAATAGCACCTACTGTGCAGATGGTGTGTGAGGAATATGGGATACACTCACAAGAAAGGCAGAAAGTCCCCACCTTCATGGTATATACGTCATTAAAAGTATAATGGTAGATTGTACAACACAGGGACTCTAGCCAATATTTTATAATAACTATAAATGGAATATAACCTTTAAAAATTGTGAATCACGGGAGTTGCCTGGTGGCCTAGTGGTTAGGATTCCGGGCTTTCACTGCCATGGCCTGGGTTCAATCCCTGGTCAGGGAACTATGATCCTGCAAGCTGTGAGGCATGGCCAAAAAGAAAAAAAAAATTGTGAATCACTATGTTGTACACCTGAAACTTATATGATATTGTACATAAGGCCCCTAACCTAGTCTCATGGAATCAAAGATTTCCTGGAAGAAGTGGTGTTTCCTAGAAGAAGGAAGCTGATGATGACTAGGTAGGATTAAGGAGGGTGAGAGAGTTGTGGTATAAGTGTGCAAAGGCCTAGAGTAGAAGACTAGGTGGAGTGGTGAGAGATGAGGTTGAAGATGCAGGGGCTGGGTCAGCACCATTTTAAGGAAAGTGTACTTTAAGAGTAGGGTATGGGCTTCCCCGGTGGCGCAGTGGTTGGGAGTCCGCCTGCCGATGCAGGGGACTCGTGCCCCGGTTCGGGAGGATCCCACATGCCGCGGAGCGGTTGGGCCCGTGAGCCATGGCCGCTGAGCCTGCGCGTCTGGAGCCTGTGCTCCGCAACGGGAGAGGCCGCAACAGTGAGAGGCCCGCGTTCCGCAAAAAAAAAAGAGTAGGGTATGTTTTAGCCATCATTGCTATGTAACATCTATTGCTATGTAACAAGCCACGCCAAAACTTCGTGGCTTAAAAAACAGCAACCCTTTATCTACTCATGATCCTGCGATTTGGGCTCTTCTTTGCTCCCCGGGGAGCTGGCTGGGGTGATCTGACTGGAATGGGAGAACCAAGATGGCTGGGGTTAGAATGTTCATATGGCCCCACTCATTCCTCTGGCTGCAACCTTCGGGGGCCGGCTGGTCCTCTGTTTCTCCAGCTGGTCTGTTATCATCTGGTTATCTGGCCCAAGTTTCTTTCCATGGCAGCTGACTCCCAAGTGAGGAAAAACAGAAGCTAAGCTCTTAACCCCTGGGTTTAGAAGTCCCAGAATGTCATTTTCATCACTAACAACATTCTGTTGGTAGAAGCAAGTCAGAAGGCCCAGACTCAAGAGGAGGAGAAATAGATTCCACTTTTCATGGGAAGAGCGTGCATATGGGGATGGGAGGAAGTGTTGGCGGCCGCATTCGCAGGTGATCCGCCACAGGACAGAATCAGATTTGGGTTGCGGGAAGACCAGTCTCTCTTCACTGCAGGGAATGGATTGTAGCTGGGCAGCGTGTGGGCAGGAAGGCCAGTTTGGAGGGAATTACGGTGGAACAGGCAAGAGTTGAAGGTCTAGGCTAATGGTAAGGACGGAGAGCAGTGAATGGGTTTGCAGGATGCTTTTCCAAGAGGAAGAGTCAGGTGACACCAGGGCTCCTCCTTGATTTCAGAGCAGCTGCCCCTTGTTCCACAAAACCCCAACTTAAGAAAGTTATTCTTATTCCTAAATGAACTTTATCTTTCAATAGTGCTTCAGCCCGGCTAAGGAGGTCACACAGGTAGGGTTAGCTTGACTCCATGAAATCAAGGTAGATGAACTGTGCTTAAAGAGGTCAGGCAGGGACACTCGGCATACGTGCAAGCATCAGAGAGGCAGCGTGGCTGGTGGCTTGAAAGAGTCTATGGGGGGCTTCCCTCGTGGCACAGTGGTTAGGAACCTGCCTGCCAATGCAGGGCACATGGGTTCGAGCCCTGGTCCAGGAAGATCCTACATGCCATGGAGCAACTAAGCCTGTGCACCACAACTACTGAGCCCATGTGCCACAACTGCTGAGCCTGCACTCTAGAGCCCATGTGTCACAACTACTGAGCCTGTGTGCCACAACTACTGAACCCACATGCCACAACTACTGAGCCCATGTGCCACAACTACTGAAGCCCACACACCTAGAGCCCGGGCTCCGCAACAAGAGAAACCACCAGAATGAGTGCGCCCGTGCACCGCAACAAAGAGTAGTCCCCGCTCACCACGACTTGAGACAGCCCGCGCGCAGCAACGAAGACGCAACACAGCTAAAAATGAATAAATTAAATAAATAAATTTTTAGAAAGAAAAAGAGTCTATGGGAGGCAGAGCGGTCAGCTGGCCTCACCTCAGCCCACTGCTTCTCTGTCTCCGGTGGAGAGGAGCCAGGGTCAGGCTTTTCTTTCTCTCCTTGATCCCACACTGTGAGGCTTTCCGCACTTGAGCGAGCGGGAGAGTCAGGCTGACCTATGTTCTCTCTCGCCGGTAGTCCTAGCCACCAGCCCGAGCAGGACATGAAAATATCTGAGGTCGGTGAGTGTCAGTGAGGCTGCAGAAACTTTAGTTCCTGTCCCCAGAGAGCAAGAGTCTGTTTAGAAAGCTTTTGCTCTAGGAAACTGAGCCAGGGAGGCCTGGGATGTCAGACCTATGATCTCCTCCGACAGGTCCGTTGGGAAGCCCTGATTTGTGGAGCAAGGACTGCGGAGAAAAACAGAAGAAGTCCAGCCAGCCAGGTGAGGTTCCCAAGCTTCCCCTTCCCCTGTGACACGGATGACAAGACAGAAACATCGGGCAGAACAGCCTCCCCCAGCGCACTTCCTCACCTTGGCACCTGGCACTGAAAATCTGGAACAAGTCGGTTGTTTATTGATCCCTTAGGCTCTTGGGTCATTTTAGGTTGTATAAATAGATGCACCTCGATCTTGTGCAAGATACAAAACTGGGCTCTTTTTTTTTTTTTCCTCCAAGCAGTGAAACTAAATTTTAAGGGAAGAAGAAACAGCTATAGAAACCAAACAAAGCAGCTCAAGAGAACAAACAACGCGTCCAAAACTGAAATCATCGTCTTTCCCCCACCCCCAGTTTCCCCTCCGAACTTCCTTATTTCTCTCAACAGTAACAGCATTCTCTGAGCTGCCCAAGCTCAAAAAACTATATATTTTAAATGTTGACCCTTTTCTGTCCCTCGACCCACATAACCACTGGCATCAAGTCTTGCTGGTCCTTCGACTCAAAGGCTCTGTGACGTTCCCACAATCCTCCTCTCCCCCAGGGTCTGGCCTTTCACCCTTCACCCTTCTAAATGCCTTGCTGGCATGTCCCCTCCTTTCAGACTCCCATTAGAGTATCCTCTTCAAACTGCTACCCTGGCCACGTCCCACCCGTCATCCCGTCATGATCTCACGTCTGCCCGTCTCTCCAAGACTCACCTCTGGTCATTTGCTCATGTCCACCTTTGCCAAATCCAACCAATCTGCTTGTAATCCCTTCACTGCCCCCTGCTCCCTCTTGCTTTGGTGCCTCTGCGCCTGCTGTTCCTCTGTCCACTTCTGCACCTTGCTAAAGCCACTCAGTCCTAGTGTCCCTTGCTCCGGGAAGCCTTCCCTGATAGCCCAGGCTGGAAATCCCCAACTTTTCTACCGTGGTGTTGATGTCGCTGTGTTAGGATATTCTGCCTCTGTCACTAGACTGTGAGCTCCTTCAGGGAAGAGCAGCTCTCTTCCATCTCGGGACCCAGAGGAAGAGCCCATAAGTGGGGCTGAACGACTGAGCCCCTTCTGACTGTTTTTTCCTTCTCTCCTTCCCCATGTCCAATTCCTTCTGCACAAGACTCACAATCTACCCCTATCCGCCCTGCCCGCAAAACAAAATAAAACAAAACAAAGCATACACTTAAGGGAAAAATTCTTAGCAAAGCTGCCATTCATGGCTCTCCGGGAACTACCTACTCCAACCCTTTCCACTCTAACCCTCTCCCCACTTCACAGGCACCCGCATAGCAGGGCTATCACCCTAAGGCTCCTTGACTCTGTCCATATCTTGCTCCAGGCCACCCAGTCCCCTGGTTCCAGCCCTCTTCTCCCTTTCCCCATTGTTCCGGGCCAGGCTAACCCTCTCCAAGGGTTTTGAAATCCTGCTCAAGCTCCACCCCCTCTCCACCCACTGGATGGCTCTCTATCCCTCTTTTCTGAATCCTGTGGTCTTTATTAATCTAATCTAAATCTTTATTTGTACTTACCCGTATGCAACCTCATGCTGTTCTTTCTTGAGGGTATATTTTTGTTCCAACTAGATTCTAGGGCAAGGGTCATTTCTTACAGGACTTTTTACTCCTGTCAATATCAATTATCAGGCACATTACAGGCCCTTAATGTATATTTCACAAATCATAGGAAGATATAAAATCATGGAAATATACAATCCAGCAAGAACAATATTAAACTTTTATCTTTAGCATGAAGTCAAGAGTTGGGCAGGAAGTAGAAAAGAGGGACCTGCCTTGCCTTCAGGGAGTTTACATCTTAATGAAGGGAGCTAAGACAATCACAGATTAATGCCTATTAACACAAGTGATTAAAAAAAAAACTACAGTTGTAAAGAGAGTTATTTATATAGAGATTTACTAGGTAATTTCGGAAACTGAAATCAAGAGAGGAGCTGTCTGGCCAAACTCAGTTCAGATCCTTTTCCAGTTTCCACATCACTCTCCCAAACCTCTGGGCACTAAAACATCTACACAAGAAGTTCTCAAACTGAACTTCCCTAGTAGCACAGTAGCTATGAATCCGCCTGCCAGCGCAGGGGACACGGGTTCGAGCCCTGGTCCGGGAAGATCCCACGTGCCGCGGAGCAACTAAGCCCGTGCACCACAACTACTGAGCCCACGTGCCACAACTACTGAAGCCCGTGTGCCTAGAGCCTGTGCTCCGCAACAAGAGAAGCCACCGCAGTGAGAAGCCCGCGCACCGCAACGAAGAGGAGCCCCCGCTCGCCGCAACTAGAGAAAGCCCGCGCACAGCAATGAAGACCCAACGCAGCCAAAAATTAATTAATTAAAAAAAAAAAGAATTTCTCAAAACTACATGAGTATCACACCCTCAAAGGGCTTGTTAAAACACACATCGCTGTGCCCTGCCCCTAAAATTCTCATTCACTGGGGCTGGGGTAGAGAGCCCAAGAATTTGCAGTTCTTCCAAGTCCCAGGTGATTCTCATAGGGCTAGTCTGGGGCAGCACACACACGTGGAGAATCACTAGACCAGACCATTTTGGAACCTAATCACGGAGATTATTAAGTTTTCGGTTGATACTTTTTTTTACTTGTGTGCCTATCTTTTCTTTCAGATAGACTGCAATCTCCCACAGGACAGGGACTATTTTATCATTGTTTTTCTAACCTCCTCAAATCCTAGCACAGTTAGACACAGCATGTAATTTAATACATCTGTGAAAGCTGGAGAAGAAAGGAAATTGGATCCTTCGTGGCCAAAATAAAGGCAAAAGAAAATATTTTCATTCTTTCAAGTCTTGGTCCAATTAAAGGAAATAAGTAGTACCAGTATTCATACTAGTGCCTTCCAAGTCAGCCCATTCTCCTCAATAGCACTGAATCCTTCTCGAATTAAAAGGATCATCAGTGAGATCTGTATATCATGACTCATCCACTCATTCATTCACCCCCAACCCGGCACCAATTTGAATCAGTTTAAACATGACTGAGCAGCGCTCTAAAGGATTTATCACATTTGCAATAGGAAAAAACAATCTGTTTGGCAGGAAACAAATGATATTACGGGGCCCAAAGGTGAGTAATTGGCCCTAATGACTTGGAAATAAATTTGAATTCGCACTGAGTAGGCTGTATAAATATCTAGTACCGTATAACTGAATGCCCGGTGCTTCTGGGAGGGGGAGCAAGAGGGTTGGGAGGGGTGGGACGAGGGGAGCAGAGAGCGTTGTTGTCTGTTGCCCCCTCATAGCTCATGCTGCCCCACTTTCTTCTCCTCCCCAAGCAGGTTAAAGGAATTGCTGAAGTGAAGAAAGTGGCAATTCACAGCCTATTAACCTTGGATTTTGGAAGGTGTGCCACTCCCATGATTCTCCTCTGCAGCTGGTTTTAACGTCATAGCTGTGAAAGATTCACCTCCAGGTCAGTTCTGAGAATTATGTGTTGGGCTAAGACTGACAAGAATTGGAAGAATTTCCTGGGGGTCCCGGAAAGGTAACTCAGTTGAAGAAAGACTCCTTTGTGGACCAGAGAGGCCAAATGTATGATGGTCACTGGTATCTGGGATTTATGTCATGCCTTCCCCCCAAGTGTTCAGAGGAATGGGTACAGTGAGAATGGACTTTGTTCAGGGACATTCATTGATTGCATCACTCCAAAAATATTGATTGAGGACCGGTTCCACCCTTCATTTGGAGCTTCTACCCTCTTGGAGTTTGCAGTCTGGAATATCTTTCTAAGCTGGGGTGACCATCCTTGATGGTTTGCTCAGTACTTTCAGTGCTAATACCAGGAAAGTCTCAGACAAACCGAAAGGTAGACTCTTACCTGGACCCACCATTCCCTGGTCAGGGCTGTCATTCGTGAACTTAGGCTCAAGAATTCATAATAAATGACTCTGCTTCATAATAAAAATTTCAGAAGTATATCTGTGTCACATACTAAAGGATATCTACAATGATACCTGTGTTTCTGTATGATTTTTCCTTTCAGTTGGCTTTTTTATTTCTAATTTTTTTCTCCTCATCAAAATCCATACTAGAGTACATGACAATTTGCTCCACTGTGTTGATAAGAAAGCTGAGATATAAAAGATACTTTATTAAAAGTATCATACATATCAACACTTCCTTATTTTGTTTCCTGAGACCTTGCTAGAAGTCTGGTTTGCTAATCTCTAATGCTTAATTCCTGATAACGTATTAATGACTGATAACAGTGTAATAATTCTCTTGTAGAACTTTCGTTTAAAAATAGATCCCTAGATCTTAGAGTGCCTTATCCCAAAGGGAGAAATTTTCTTTTCTTTTCAAGAATGATATTCTAATGGTAGAACTCTAACTATGTGGGCCAATTCACTACTTAAAAGGGCAGCAAATGATCTATGGTCAACCTTGACCTTAGATTGGAGAAAGGAGATATTTAAGTGCCTCTCTTCACCTAGATAATGATTTGGGCTGTGGATAAGTAACATAAGTCCGTTACTTTTGTGGATGTAAAGGTCATTATGTTGGACTTTCACAATTTTTTTTTTTTTCTAAACCATAATTTTAATTTAATTTTTTGGCCGTGCCACGTGGCATGGGGGATCTTAGTTACCTGATCAGGGATCAAACCCGAGCCCCCTGCAGTGGGAGCACGGAGTCCTAACCACCGGACCGCCAGGGAATTCCCTTAAAATTATTGATGACTATTATAAAAATTGAAGTTGGGCTTAAATAATACTCTATTACAGTATAAGCCCATCTGCTAAGCCAGCAAAGTCAAATACTTTGGCTGCTTCTTTATTTAAAAGTTTGGGGAGGAGAAGAAAAATTTTTAGGCAGAAAAAGACATTCAACCTTTTTGGAACTCATCTTTCCCCATTCTTTAGGAGAAAGAACTCTCAGCTGATTGATGGTGCTGGATCTTGGGAAAAAGCAGGAACCTAGGATGAAAGCTGGAGGGGACAAGGTAGTTTGCTCAAAAGGGACGCCTTTGTCCCAGATGTGGATATTGGACCCATCCTTGGGCCACAAGTGGACGCCTAGCAAAGTGACTTGTCCAACGTCACAAAAAACTGAGACTAAACCCCAAGCCTTCAGATTCCCAGTATAATCTCGCCTGTAAGCTATACTATATTGAATAACCACCCTGATGTTATAGTTTTTCTCTTTGTATCTGTATTTGTCTACAATCATAAATGCCCAAAACCCTCTAAGATACCATACACTGTTTTTTTTTTTTTTTAATGTTGAGCCATCTTTTAATTTATTTRTTTTTATTTTTGGCTGTGCTGGGTCTTCGTTTCTGTACGAGGGCTTTCTCTAGGTGTGGCAAGCGGGGGCCACTCTTCATCATGGTGCGCGGGCCTCTCACTGTCGTGGCCTCTGTTGTTGCAGAGCACAGGCTCCAGACGCGCAGGCTCAGTAGTTGTGGCTCACGGGCCTAGTTGCTCTGCGGCATGTGGGATCTTCCCAGACCAGGGCTCGAACCCGTGTCCCCTGAATTAGCAGGCAGATCCTCAACCACTGTGCCACCAGGGAAGCCCCCGTACACTGTTTGAAAGCCCTCACCTCCTTTATCTTATGCACATGCACACGTGGACACAAAAAGACATTGCCATTTTGTAGTAATAAAGGCCTGATTGTGACACTGTGGGTCCCCTTGCCTTGTCCTGCATTTCTGGACTTCACCTGGGTTCAGTGCCTCCTCCCTTTTTCTCAGCCCAGGTGCCCTTCCTGTCTGAGGACTGTTGGGCTCCAC